GCAGTACTCCCAGATACCACCTCAATGTATATTATTATACTGCAGTACTCCTAGATACCACCTCACTGAGTACTATTATACTGCAGAACTAATAGACACCACCTCAGTGAATACTATTGTTCTGCAGTACTCCTAGATACCACCTCAGTGAGTGCTGTTATACTGCAGTACTGCCAGATACCACCTGATTGAATACTATTACACTGCAGTACCACCAGATACCGCCACATTGAGTACTATTATACAGCAGTACTACCAGATACTACCTTAAATTAGTAATATATGTAGTGATGTAGGGACAGCTTTGCTGTAGCTTCACAACTAAGTAATTATTCTTAAAGCTAAAAAAGTTAAATCTGGTCCTCTGGACATTCAAAACAACAAAAAATATATAGAAACGTTTCGTCTCTCATCCTGAGGACTTCCTCAGTCTGAGGAGCTGTATTCAGCTCAGTCTCTTAAATAGCACCTTCTCAGAGTGGATCAACCAGTTTTGCTGCTGACAACCAGAACCAGCTGATCACATGCTCAAGAAGGACCATCAGCCTAACAATGGATCATTAGCACCTGATGGCTGTTTACTGTTCACAGAGGGCTGAGTGATACTAGCAATCACAGCATTGTAAGAGGGGGACAGTTGAACCTGGAGGCTCCACCCCTGTTTAATGATGGACGGTTTCTTTTCACAAAGATGGCCTCCTTTACTCCTCTCTCAAACCATCGTTCCTCTCTGTCCAGGATGTGCACATCTTCATCCCTGAAAGAGTGACCTCTGGCCTGGAGATGAGTGTAGACCTCAGAGTCCTGGCCTGATGATGTTGATCTTCTGTGCTGGTCCATCCTTTTGGCCAGTGGCTGTTTAGTTTCCCCGATGTAAGACTGATCACCCTCCTGACACTGAACAACATACACAACATTACTCTGTTTGTGCCGGGGGACTGGATCTTTGGGATGAACCAGTCTTTAATGTATTTTGGGGTTTAAAAGCCACTGGGACGTTATGTTTAGAAAATAAACGTCTCAGTTTCTTTGATACTCCCTCAACATCTGGAATGACCACTGGTCTGGGTCTGGGTTCCTCCTTTTCACCTGTTGGCTGACTGGAGTCCTGTTTGGGTTTCTTCTCTGCTTTCAGTAAACAGCCATCAGGTGCTAATGATCCATTGTTAGGCTGATGGTCCTTCTTGATCATGTGATCAGCTGGTTCTGGTTGTCAGCAGCAAACTGGTTGATCCACCCTGAGAAGGTGCTATTTAAGAGACTGAGCTGAATACAGCACCTCAGACTGAGGAAGTCCTCAGGATGAGAGAAGAAACGTTTCTACATTTTTTTGTTGTTTTGCTTTGTTTTGTTTTTTTGAATGTCCAGAGGACCAGATTTAACTTTTTTAGATTTTTCTACCTGGATTATTGAGCAGCATCAGGATTCTTAAAGCTTGTTCAAGCACAAAGAATATTAATTATTTAAATACAACGGATTCTTTCTTTTTCGAGTTAAATTATGTGTCATGTGACCGAGATAACTGTGAGGATTGTTTAATCAGTGACATGAGACGCCATTTTATCTTTGACCCATCAGAATAAATGCAGTCATTTATGTAACAGAATCAAAATTTAACATCAAGACATGTACACATTGATTTGCTGATCTGTTTCTGATTAATAAAAACTTGGCATGCTTTACTAACAAGACAACAGAACATTAATGTAGGCTGATTCACCTCTGAAGGCATCTGGATTACTGGCGAATAAAAAAGATTAAGGGAAGGAATGGAGAAGTTTAACAGGAAGATGGATGAAGGAAGATGTATGTTTGTTGACCAGAATTAGCATGCTTCTTTCAACACCAGCTCAAACCCCGGTCCACTTAGTGCGTGACAACTCGTGACGTCTCTTTACCTTTACAGATGATGGATCAGCTCCGATCTAGATGTCCCTATGCACGCTACCTTTACAGGTAGTACTACTTACCTTGCATGACCTTGTCGGCGGCTGGATATCCGTCAGGTCCCGCGCAAGGGGTATACTCTTTCATAAGAGCAGCACATAACGGGCGGTAATCCTTTCGTGTGGCATCAGGTTGACGCTCTATGAAAGAAAACACCGTCCTGTCAGAAGTGAGCCTGATCAAACCTACTTTATCCTCAACTGTAGCATTGGGATAGCTTCTTAATTGGAAGTCAAGGTTGTGCAGATAGGCCTAAGTGTCGGTCGAACCCAACGGCCTTGGCTCAAAGCGTTGGAAATATTTTGCGATTTTATGCAATTCCGCTATTGAGAGCGGAGGCTGAGGAAATGGTGTTGTTGGAACAAAATAATCACGTGGAGGTGGCAGAAGGGGATTATGTGTAGGAGGTACAGCAAAATCCTTCTGAGGTGGTGGTGGGTGACCTGGACTCAGACCCAGTTCGTCTTTGAGTTCCAGACATCCTTGCCCCTCGTCAGAGATTTTATTTGTGGCTGCGGCAAGTTTTGCCTCACAGGCTGTTAAGTGTTCATGTGATGTATGTCACTCACTTTGTAAATGCACGCCTTGTTGGACTAACGCCGCTTTTTCCAATCTGCACTTGTCCAGAGATTGTGATGTGAGCTGCAACTGTCGTTGCAGAACATCATTGTCTGAACACAGTGCTTGGTACTTAATCCCTCCTTCACGTAGCTTTTCCTCATATGAGTTTGCTTGTAACAACAGCTGAGCTTGTGAGAGCTCTTCTTCACGTTTCAATTTATCCTCCCAGGTCTCCTTATCAAATTGAAACTGTGCTATGAGTTTTAGATATTCCTCTGTCTCGCTGTTCAACCTTATTGCAAGGTCTTCTGCCCTGTTGGTCTCAATATAAAATATTGCCTTCAGCAAGAGTGCTATTTTAGCTAGTTGTTCATAGCTTGACTTTTTTATGGCTGTGGAAGTTACACTTTCTGCAACTTCCTTCAGCTTGTCCAATAACTCTGTTGAGGTCATGCTGTCCACCTGTTCACCATATGGATATAAGGACTCCGTGAGCAGCCTCTTCAGGGCTGTCCCTTTTTATCACATGGAGCAACATTAGCTTCTGTTAAATCTGCCATGGTTATCCACTGTTCAGCAAAACCTATCTGGTTAAACCGTCGCAATCTTAAGAGTTTTTCAACAGGTAAACGTTTGTATTTAAGTGAGCAGTGAGTCTCACACACTAGTTTAGCTCTCAGTTTCATCAACAGTACTGTTATAAGCCAATTTTTCAATAAATGGGCTCCTGTCTTCAGGCCTTACCCCATAAATACCATAAGTAAACGCTTCCTGTGGCAGTGTTACTTAATATGAGCTTAAATCTAACAGATACAAGAGCCAGGCTATTTCAGTGTTCCTGTACTCCAATGCACTTAAAATTAAATAAACCTGCAATATTTTCTAAGAAGGCTTACCGCAACTGTGTAGTTGTAAACGCCCTCAAGCAGTTTAATTTACCAGAATTTGCTATTTAAACAGTACACATAAACCAGGCGTGATTAACAAAAAAAATAAATAAATAAATGAAACGAGTGCGCAGCTTTCTTTCTGGAAAACTGTTATACTCTTTTTCAACAGCAGGTGGCGGTATAAGCTTACTTTTACCGGTAGGAGTCACTGACGACTTCCTGTGAACCGTCCTGTTGACATCCGGTTGTTAGCCGTTAGCTACATGGAGCAAACAGTCGAACACGGTTCAAATCAGCATTTATGGACAGATTTAAAGCTTTTAACGTGGCGTCGCTTTACAAGCATGCTCTTTCTGCATGTACTCATGAGTTTATGAACGAATGTCAGGGCTTTATTCAGCTTTTTTAAACACAAAGGAAGACTCTGTTAAAACAAGCTTCATTTCCGGGGTCACGTGACTTCACAGACACGTGAACATCGGGGGTGGGCTTTTCGCACTGACACCAGAGTGAGTGGACGTACACGGCGTTACGTCACTAGCTTCTCAGCGAATCAGAACGTCCCAAACAGTGGTTGTCGACCAATCACAGCTCGTGTGTACTCGCCTTAACCTAGCAGTTAGCATCAACAGTCCGGTCAAATTATCGCCCATTAAAGCTTCAAAAATTGCACAATTTACTGTGAAACGTAACAGATCAGCATAGGAGCAGCTCTGAGACGGCGCTCAGCTTCAGACAACGTATCACCATTTAAAACACGAGTCCAGTAAACAGAACCGGGTCGAACACGCAGAACCCCCGGTCCATGCCAGAGTTTCAAACAGAATGAATGCGTTATTCCCACTGCTCACAGCTTAGTTACACAAACAGAGTGACAATTTCAGCTTTAAAATGAACACATTGACGCAATTCTGCATCTTTCTGAACACCACAGCCGTAAATCATGTCTGTACCAAGGTCAAAACTCTGACTTTTTTATGCCAACATGGCGCATTATTTCACAATAACACAGGTCTCGGGTCACATATAACTTATCTCTTTAGAAACCGTACGGGCCACCAAAATGTAGTGATGCAGGGACAGCTTTGCTGTAGACACACTTCTAATTAATTATTCTTAAAGCTAGTTCAAGCACAAAGAATATTAATTATTTAATTACAACGGATTCTTTCTTTTTCGAGTTAAATTATGTGTCATGTGACCGAGATAACTGTGAGGATTGTTTAATCAGTGACATGAGACGCCATTTTATCTTTGACCCATCAGAATAAATGCAGTCATTTATGTAACAGAATCAAAATTTAACATCAAGACATGTACACATTGATTTGCTGATCTGTTTCTGATTAATAAAAACTTGGCACGCTTTACTAACAAGACAACAGAACATTACTGTAGGCTGATTCACCTCTGAAGGCATCTGGATTACTGGCGAATAAAAAAGATTAAGGGAAGGAATGGAGAAGTTTAACAGGAAGATGGATGAAGGAAGATGTATGTTTGTTGACCAGAATTATCACGCTTCTTTCAACACCAGCTCAAACCCCGGTCCACTCCGGTCTAGATGTCCCTATGCACGCTACCTTTACAGCGTCTCCGGTCAGGGCGGCTGGTCATCGTCAGAAGTCGTGTGGTTTACTCCGTTCAACAGAACAAGCTTCCTTCGAAGTTGTAGGGTGTTACGCCCGGATGAGTTCACAGCGAGGCGCTGTAACTCCGCTGGGATGGACGGACCCTCGTCTCACGGTCAAATCCATCAGCTATTGATTAAATCTGAAAGTTCCTTAGGAACTCTCAGGAAGACTCCAGTCAGAGATTCCACTCAGAAGTAGAAGACTCCATAGTCCCAAGAAAGACAGGAAAACTGCAGGAAGACCACCAGAAGACTGAATAGTCCCAGGAAGTGTTGACTTTTTAAAGAGTGCTCACTTCCTGTCAATTAGTTTTCCTGATTAGTTGAAACAACCGGCAGGGGCGGTGTTTCAGTGATGTCAGAGGGTTATTAGGAGTCAAAAAGACAGCAGGAATGTTTACGAACGGTTAGTACAGACAGAGGAATGTTATGGCGAAGTGAGACAAACGCAGATGCCAGTTGAAGTTATTTACTGTCTGCTGAGTTTTAAAAACAAGACACTTCGGTCTAATAACTTGCTTTCTGACTTTTGACCGACATCAAATCCACTTATTCAGACAGAAGATCAAAATGCACACTTACTTTGTAAATAGACATTTAACTGTATTATCAAAGTCTAATGAGGTTTAAAATTCATTAATACTGTTTCACAGTTGATTTAAATGAGTGGAACACTTCAACATTTAGAAATGATATGAACTAAACACACTTTGATTATCAAGATATTCTAAAATAGTAATGATAAGGTAAAAAGGAAGAGTGTTCTTTCAATTGATTAATTCAGGATACAATTAAAAAATCTTTTGATGAGATAATTTGTATTTCTGGATTCAGATCAATGAAATAACAGTTCCTGTTCCCTGAAGGTCTTCAGAGACAGGTTGAGGTCGGAGGCCTAGTTCACTACATCAGTGAGTATTATTATACTGCAGTACTCCTACATACCACATAATGCAGTACTATTTTACTGCAGTATTCACAGATACCACATCAGTGAGTACTATTATACTGCAGTCCTCCCAGATACCACCACATTGAGTACTATCATACTGCAGTACTCCCAGATACCCCCACACTGAGTACTATTATAAGTACTATTATACTGCAGTACTCCCAGATACCACCACATTGAGTACT